TTTAGTTATTTTCCTTTACATATTTCTCTACTATGGACAGGCTCTCATTAGGTTCCACTTCTACATCATATCCTAAGATTTCCAGTCTTCCTGGGACAATCAATTGCAGGTCATCTGCCGAATCAATTGCCTTGTTGCTTATAACCCTGCCCCGAGGAATATCGAGTACTCTGGGGTGAGTGTATAACGAACGTCTGGAGAGTAAAAGTAATTTATTAGCGTGAAAGGAAGGGGTTGCTTATAACCCTGCCCCGAGGAATATCGAGTACTCTGGGGGAGTGAATGTGACCAGACATCTATGTTTGTGGTGATGTGATATATATATATACGTGTTGTATGTTTTGTTTCCATTCTGTATTTGAAAGAAGAGAAAAAGCAGGAAAAGGCACAGAGGGCCGGGGATCACCTCGCTGTTTGTCGGCCCATAAACTCCTCCCGCCCAAAGAGGACCGTATACGAATTTCAAAGTTTAATTAACAGGCAGAAATCAGAAGATTTCCAGATAGTAAAAAAATCAACCGAACCACTTCGCTAGAAAGATCATGTAGATTTTATATTTATACTTTGCAAACAATTAACAACATCGCAAGTCCTGTAAAAGTGTATTGGGATCTGGGATATGATATATGATACGAGCCTTCAGTTTTATATACAAAGGTGCAGTAATCCCTCTCCTAACATGGGCTGAGGCGATAAAAAGCTCTTAGGCCTAAAAGGATTTTAAGAGGTTTCTAAGAAATGTTAAGAGAAATATATATAGAAATTGCCAATGGATATAGAAAGAACTACATCATTTCACACGACCCTCGTAATAACAGGTGTCCTTCCAATTGATTTGTGAATTGCAGAAATAGCTAAAAATTATAGGCTGATGGACACCAAACAAGAATTGGAATGCTCAGTTTAAAAAAAATTTTTAAAAATTAAAAAAAAAAATGGCGACATCCCGGCGAAGAAAGTGTGTGTTTTAATCCCTGATGCAACCTCAGATGTGGATCCCTTCTACAGAATGTAAACAGTTTTTTTTATTATTATTATTTTTTTTTTTTTATTGGCCTTATGATCTTGCATATTAGCCATAGTACGAATTCTTGTGTGTTCAAATTGGGGGTTATCGGGGGTTATCGGGGAAAAAAGGGCCAGAGGCGACGGTGGGAATCGAACCCACGACCGCGGCGTGAGAGTCTCTCATGCTAACCACTCGGCTACCGTGGTCCCCTAAACAGAGTTGGTTTGCCCTAGTAACAGTAAAAGTGAATCAATAAAATGTATCAATAACTCATTATGCACTAATGATTATTAATGGTGATATAATTGGATCACTAGAGAGGACTTTCTGTGACGTTTCTAGGACTCGAGTTTTGAAATAAAACCATTTTTTCGACTATTATTTATGAAATCTTTACTGTACATAATCACTTAATTTTTGTGTTTATTGGATAGTGTGAATGTTATACCATAATTGACTTTATTAATATCTGGGATTTTTCTCTCGACTTTTTTCGTAGGTTTTCAATATTAAAATAATTTCCTTAATTTTTTTAAATTGCTTAATTAATACTGTAAAAATATAAATCTGTGATTTTAGTTTGTATTCTCGCCGGACCATTCATTATCTGAATTTCCCTTTTTAGTTTATTTTACACTTGAAATATTGATTTCAATTTTTTTTACATTTTTTACAATTTTACAACTTCTGTTTTAGAAGGTGTGAGGATTTTTGAGCAGAATTTCTGAAAATCAATTATAGTTGTCGAACGAAATATTGAAACGTTTGAATCCTTAGCCCTACTTGTGCACCTGTGTGTTGTTGGTCAAGATAGGCCTGAAAATTATTATAAAATTCAATTGAATTTAATCTAACTATATTTAACAATTCAGCTTTAAAGTTCCCACAAAATGATATTTTTAGTCAATTAAATAAGAAATTTTAATTGACTCTCAGAATTTCGATAACATCCTTGTTCACTCTCTTAAGCTTTCTTGTTTCGCAAAAGAATTTTCAGTAACAGGCTTTTGCACGAATAGACCCAATATAGTAGAAATGCGGTTTTCTCGGCAGGAAATCAAACTTTGTTCTAAGTTACCAAGTCACTGGGTGTAAATTGCCATATATTGGATTGAAGTAAGGCAGAGCGTTTGGAGAAGTCGAAGTTGGATTGACACGATCCTTTGCCCATGTCTCACAGAGTTGAGATGTTCAGTGTCGCCATGTTTTAATTAAATTGTATATTTTTTAAACATCGGTTATCGTTTTTAATATTAATTTGTAATTTTGACACCAATAATTGTAAGTTCCTAATTGAGTCGAATAATTTTCAAAAGATTGAAGACGAGCAAATAAATAATAATCGTAAAAAATGAATAAATACCTATATTTTTACGATATCTTATAGGATATCTCGTAGGAAAAAAACAGCAGAATAGTCTCTAAATTAAAAGGCACTCCAAAAAAACCTATGTAAGAAAAATAATACAATTTTTATATGAAAGTTTAAATCTGGCAGGTTTAAGTCCACATAACAAAAGAGACAACATGATATGACAGACATGAGGACGTAAAGATACTAGGGGGAGAAAACTATACTCCAAATTATCAGTGTTGGATATAAAATATAAAAATATTATTTATTATAAATTAATACAAAATTTATGCAAAAATGTATATAAAAAGATTAGAAACACACTATGTCTGTAAAATTGATTATCAAGAAACTCCAAGGTTTTGGCTGGATCAACACTGGAAGCATATAGCGGATGGCGTCTTAGATTCTAGATATTTTGTCGCTTCACATCGGCCATCTTCCCATGGATATCGACAGATTTGTATTTAGGTCTATTCATATTCTACATACTAAAAATTCGTTTCGTTGTTGTTAGTTGGTTACATATTGGGTGAGGAACAATTAATTAATTTTTTTATTGAGTCTTGTTCATACAGTCTTGGAGGAAATCGAAACATTCGAAATTGTATTGGCAGATTTCTTATCTAGTTTCCCTTAATGCTAATAATTCTTTAGCATAAATATCCCTCACCCACTTTGCTTAACTTTTTGTTGACCTTTGTTTCATTAGTAAATGAGATTCAAGCGCATAAAGGTCTAAGGAATTCACTTGAGACTTCACTTCAAGAGGCATGGATTAATGCACTCCCTCAAAAGACCAATTAAAAACCATCCACCTACGCTAATTGCTACTTGTGGACTTCTGACTGCCTCGCTTCAGTGGAGGCCCATTCTCATCGCCAGATCATATCGCTATGGAGATCTCACCATCACCGCCTGATCATGTCTCTATGGAGATCTCATCCTCATCACCTGTATCGCTAGAGAGATCCCACCCTCATCGCCTGATGATGTCGCTAGGGAGAATCCATCCTCATCGCCCGATCATATCGCGAAAGAGAGTCCACCCTCATCGCCTGATCATGTTGCTAGGGAGTTCCCACCCTCATCGCCTGATCATGTCGCTAGGGAGATCCCACCCTCATCGCCGATCATGTCGCTAGTGAGATCCCACCCTCATCGCCTGATCATATCTCTAGGAAGATTCCACCCTCATCGCCCGATCATGTCGCTGGGAGATCCCACCCTCATCGCCCGATCATGTCGCTAGGAAGATCTCAACCTCATCGCCCGATCGTGTCGCTAGAGAAATCACTTCCCTCATGACGGTGAGAGATCCCAACCTCATCGCCTGATCATCTCTCTTGGAAGATTCCACCCTCATACCCGATCTTGTCACTAGGGTGATCCCACCCCCATCGCCCGATCATATCTGTAGAAAGATTCCACCCTCATCACCTCATCCTGTCACTAGGGACATCCCACCCTCATCGCCGAACATGTCGCTAGTGAGATCCCACCATCATCGCCCGATCATGTCGCTAGAGAAATCACTTCCCTCATGACGGTAGGAGATCCCAACATCATCGCCTGATCATCTCTCTAGGGAGATCCCACCCTCATCGCTCGATCATGTCGCTAGGGAAATCTAAACCTCATCGCCCGATCGTGTCGCTAGGGAAATCACTTCCATCATGACGGTGAGAGATCCCAACCTCATCGCTTGAACATCTCTCTAGGAAGATTCCACCCTCATCACCCGATCTTGTCACTAGGGTATCCCACCCCCATCGCCCGATCATGTCGCTAGGGAGATCCCAACCTTATCGCCCGATCATTATCTAGGGAGATCCCAACCTCATCGCCCGATCGTGTCGCTAGAGAAATCACTTCCCTCATCACCCGATCACGACGGTGGGAGATCCCAACCTCATCGCCTGATCATATGTGTAAGAAGATTCCACCCTCATCACCCCATCCTGTCACTAGGGACATCCCACCCTCATCGCCGATCATGTCGGTAGTGAGATCCCACCCTCATCGCCCGATCATGTCGCTAGAGAAATCACTTCCCTCATGACGGTGGGAGATCCCAACATCATCGCCTGATCATCTCTCTAGGAAGGTACCACCGTCATCGCTCGCTCATTTTTCGCGCGAATACGCTTCCAGTGTAGATCTAACCTTACGCGTTTCAGCAAATAAAGAAGGAAGGTGCTCGACAGAATACACTTATTAATAATAAAATAAATATAAACATTCTAATAATAAAACACAAAATAATGTTTGAAGAATAAGACTGAAGAACGGAAGCGGAAGCTCCAGAAATCGATATCGTCAAAATAAAGATTGTAATAAAGGACGGGAATTCTTGTTCTTGAAGAAAACTCTACTACAAGTGATTCTGCCCGTAAAAGAAAAACGAACGAGATGTAAAATAAATATAGTTTTTGTTTGAAAAGTAGTTGAACAAAATTACGATCAACTTAAAAATCGTTTTGTAACACCTTTATTTTTATTATGGAACATTTATAATAATAAAAAACAACAACAATGCATTTTAATAATTTAGAAATGTAAAATACTTAAATTTCACCCTCAGAACTAATTATTATATCAGTCTTGAATAAAAATGTACAAATTTGTTCGTTTTAGGCTTTTCAACTTTCTACTCTGGTCGATCGTGATCAGTATCTTAAGACAGCATTGTTCGGGTGGCTTAGCATCTGGGGCATCTTTGTCGTCGAGTCCCTATCAAAAATCATATTGATCAAACAAAAGGTAAGAAGTAACCTGCTTAATATCGTAATAAACCAAATTCCAAAAGATAAAGAAATTGTTCAAAAATTATTTAAAATATAAGGCAGAAAAGAGACCAGAGATCTGAAAAATTCTTATGACAAAAAATATCTTCCTGTTTAAAGATTTTCTTTGGTCAGCGCAAATATGACAAGTATGCAGGTAAGAAAGTTTAATATTTCCTGGCTCGTTGTGGTAATGCGGCTTTGCTCAAAGACCAAAGGAAAGAGACTGGTTTCTCTCTTAGAAATTTAAAATTGCATTTTCATATAAATTTAACAATCTGAATTCTAGTTTATTCTATCTAGTGAAAATTTATTTCTTCTTATCCTGGCAAGAGTAGGAAAAAACGTTTGCACCTTGGCTTTCCCAACATCATGTCACGTACTTTCATATAAATATATATGGCAGGTATTTTTCTGCCCTTCTTGACAAAATATTAATCCTGTAATTAATATACATAAAGAAAATAAAATTACAAATTGTTATAATTCATCACAATGTGTGTAATAAGAACGTACACTGATGGATAAAATTAACGCACCAATTTAAATTTTTGTGTTTAGGTTTATTCATATTTTGCATACAAAAAATAGATATGGTTGTAAAAAATAAGATATTTAAAAAGAAATTGTTTATTACTTATCCAAAAAAATTATTATTGAGTAAAAAAATCAGAAAACAAACACAAATGAAAAAAAAATGCCCCCTTTAATACTGAGTATTGCATTAGGACTTTGTAACTAATTTTGAATGATAATGGATTAAATTTTAAACTAAATAAATTGAGTGGTGCATTAAATTTGTCCATCAGTGTAGTATGTCATCAAATCACATATTTATTCGAAATATATAAACCAATTAAAGGGGTAAATTAGTCCAGATGGTAATAAACTTTCCATTGTAAAATTAAATAATAATTATCGCTTTGACAAACACTCAAAGATGATATATTTTCATGTTCTGAATGGTTTTGATGATTAGCTTGGAAATCAGAATAATATTTCATTTTGCCAATGACAATTCAAGGGAACATAAATTTAAGTTTTCAGCACAACCATGCTTTCTTTTCAAAATTGGAATGTACGAAAACCGTTGTGCAGTTGATGGACGAACATGGAAAACGTGTCGAACCTCCGTGATGAATGTAACTGATAATTTGATTTCATCCAGGGTTATTTTTGGCGGGTAAGAGTAGTTTGTTTACGAGCTAGGTTATAGTTTCAAATAAATTAGGTTTGCGCAGACACATATTGGATTGTGGGGTGACTCATGGGATCCGGTTTGACAGGTTCGCCTTTATAAATCCCGGAAGGCTCATATCGTCTATGCTACGCATCCGTGCCAAACAAATGCTCCATCTTTCCAAAATGTCCAATATTGTCACCCCATCGATGGTTGCTTAACCGGAGGGGTAAATTGGGCCCCGGGGTGCACGTTCTGTCGCAGCTGAATCTGACATCCTCTAAAAAAAATTATCGACTGCTCTTCTATTACTGACTAAAAAAAATCTTTACTATGTAGACCAATCTGTTGTTTTCTCGCGGGAAAAAATTGTGTTATACATCACAAAACAAGTTGATTCAAACAGTACCGGACAATGGTGAGGGGTTGTGTAATGGTCCATTAAGCTTTTTCTTTATTCTTGTTTATCATTAAATGTTTTTTTCTTTATCGCCAAAAATTCTGCTTAACGTTTTTCCTCTCATTAGGCCCGCTTTTTTTCAGAAACAGGATGTAATTGTGAAAAGTATAAATGAAGACGATGAAAGCGCAATGCTGAAGGAAAACCACCTTCATCTACACGAGGTAAGCAGTTTAAAATGGCTCTTTTAACAATAATATTAAACGAAATTTTTTTGCGATGATTGACGCGGAAATATTAGAAACTACGATAATTTCACAGACTGAATAAGAAAAACGTCCATTTGAAGAATGTTTGGACAATTCTATAATATTTTTAAATCAATTTAATAAACTTTACACCCAAAGGTGTGATCTGTAGAAATTGTTTTATCTAACTATTTTTATGGAACAAAGTTAAAAGTTTTCCCATTTTCTTCCAAATCTTCTTCAATCCGACTAGATTTTGTGCGGTTTGGTGTGATGTAGATTTTAGAAAATCATTTCTTTATCAAGCCAACGTTTCGATCTTTATTGTGATCATCTTCAGGGATCAAGTGTTCGTTTTCCGTGTAGATGTGTCATTCTTGTGTGTCGTGTTGAGAGTGCCCATAATATTTGTAAATATATATTTTTTATTATTCAAATCTTCTTCAATCTGACCAGATTTTGTTTTGGAATATGAAGTGCCAAATAATTTGAACTGTATTTTACAGTAAATTCTTTAGGTTATTTATCGTTTATTTGATTAATTAAAGGTAAATATATATTTTTTATGAGTGAAGAGGAAGTATTAGAAATTATGGTAATTTTGTATCACAGACTCAATAAGAAAAAAGTCCATTTGATGAATGTTTGGACAATTCTTTAATATTTTTAAATCAATGTAATAAACTTTACACCCAAAGGTGTGATATGTAGAAATTGTTTTATCGAACTATTTTTATTGAACAAAGTTAAAAGTTTTCCCATTTACTTCCAAATCTTCTTCAATCCGACTAGATTTTGTGCGGTTTGGTGTGATGTAGATTTTAGAGAATCATTTTCTTTATCAAGCCAACGTTTCGATCTTTATTGTGATCATCTTCAGGGATCAAGTGNTCCCTCCTTTTTGCCATTTTTTTCTCTCTACTTTTTTATCTCAACTAAAAAACTTAATTATTTGTAATATATTAATTGGTCAAGCGGACCACGAAATTAGTGAATTTAGTAAATATTTATTTTTTGCATTGATGAAAAAAGTTATCACCCTTCCAGTATTCCTATGTTATTTATTAAGTTTGACACATTTTGATATAGATATTGGTTAAATTGACATTCGTTAAAAAGTTTCAAAGTTTTTCTCGGCAGGCAAGTGTTGTAAAATGACCGACTCGGATCGTTATCTCTCCTATTGAAAAAAGTTCATGATTTTATCCGAGTATCAATTTCTGTTTCGAGAGGGAGCACTTCCAATGAACCATTTCTCACCGTGGCCCGAAAAGGAGAACAAGTGTTGTAAAGGGCGCTCGATCGAGCGTTATTGTTGACCTAGAAAATAGTCCATTCTATCGCACCGAGACTCTATAAATTATATGAAAGTGAACGAAAAACTGTCTTGGCTTTCTTGGTGAACTGACCTACACAAAGAAATCTCAACTTAAAAACCAAGAATTTTAGTTTTAAAATAACACATTTAACACATTTGCTTTAAATATTTCTTGTTTAGTAGTAATCATTCAATTCAAATGCAAAATAAAAGAATTAACTACTACAATTTTAACAATGCTTGGAAACTGTCTGATAATTAAATTCTCGCTAATTAAGGTTTGAGGATTCTCTCTCTCTCTCTCTCTCTCTCTCTCTCTCTCTCTCTCTCTCTCCCTCTCTCTCTCTTTATCTATCTATCTGTTTATCTATATATCTACTTTATAAGATATGAGACTCGAGACGCCGTCTTTGACCAATAACTTTACCAATTAGTGAACATTTGCTTTATGTTTCAATCGTCTACTAGTAGATTTATACCCGTTGAAGTGAAATTCATATATATACAGGGTGAATTGCTACTCGTGCTACAAACTTCTCCAGTAGATTCTTCACCCTAAAATGAACAAAAAAGTTCATATTGTCCATGGTCCNCGGACCATGGACAATATGAACTTTTTTGTTCATTTTAGGGTGAAGAATCTACTGGAGAAGTTTGTAGCACGAGTAGCAATTCACCCTGTATAATTAAAACAAATACATCATTAGAGAAATTTGTTGAGCTCAAGAGCTCAATTGTAAATGCTGTATTACGAAGATTGTAAATAGCATGTTTGGTTTAATTCAAAGTAATATAATTTTGAGTTATTGCAAGACTTTTTTATTAAAGAATTTTATGTAAAATATAAATCTCATTCATGTAGACTGGTCGTAATAATGCCATAAATAAATTCATATTTTAACTATGGCCTCAAGCATTGTCGATATCTCGCCAAAAATAATATAACATAAAAAAGTGATTTTTAAAGGAACAAAACGTAGAAAGTTGAATTTGTTGTAGTTTTTCGTTTTGTTCCTATAAATTTAAAATCCCTTGGCCATGGTTAGGATGCAGTATGAAACTAAGCATAATTTATTCTATCAGTAATTTTCTTTATCTAAAGCAGTAAGACATTTGATAGTAAAACACATAAAAACCACTGCTTCACGACTGCTAAGATATTTGAGATCAAAATTTTGGAATTTAATCAAATTGCGTTTTGAAACAAGAATGATGGCTTATTTTGGAAGCGACAGGTTTGTGCAATTTAGGTTTATTATATCCGATTTGAGCCTAGGTAGTGCACTGGTTCGAAAGGGTGCTTTTACTTATAAACTGGTTTTAACAGCTATCCGGATTTCGGGCATTTAACACTCATCGTCAGGCTGAAATGTTTGTACATGTTTTTCAACTTGATTTGTACACGGATAATTTTAAATTTTACTATTTCAAAGGTTCTAATTCCAAGAATATTGCTTTCTTGTCGTTCATATCCAAATGGACTGTTTTCCAAAAGTTACATTTCGAAGTACATATGAAAATTTTCAAAAAGGTTTTGTTTCCAAAATCTTTGTCAAAACGATTAAATTGTAAAGTAGATTCTTTTCAAGATGTTTGCTGTTAAAATGGATTTATGCTTCAAGAGTTTTCATTTGGTCAAGCATTGTTACCAAAAGATTCCAAAGTGTAATTTTTTCTGGAGGGTTTAAACTAAACCTACTAAAACTGGTTACCAAATGGCTAAAATATTTTCAATTTCAAAAGGATTTTTTTCTAATTTAAAAAATAAATATTTATTTTAAGCTGTCAAATTTCAGAAGAATAATTTTTGGAAGACTTTTACTCATAAAATCTATAAAAAAATATTAGTTTTAGTAACTTTATTAACTTGTAAAAAATAAATTTAAATAATACAATTGTTTATGTGATTAGTGACGGTTAGTCGATGATTATTCAGAAATCGTGAGATGCGGTCTGGTGTGATGTAGGTTTCAGAAAAACATTTTCCTTACAGTGCCAACGTTTCGACCTTTATTGAGATCATCTTCAGGGCCTGGGATTTACAAACATTGTTTAAATTTAACAAATACATGTAGGATATGGAAAAAAGTGAATTTATACAATTTTTTTGCATTATTTGTTAAATTTAAATAATATTTGTAAGTCCTAGGGCTGAATATGATCTCAATAAAGATCGACACGTTGACACGATAAGGAAAATGTTTTTCTGAAACCGACATAACACCAGACCGCATCTCATGATTTCTGAATAATCATTTTTTATGTAGTTGAATATTATAGCTTTGACGATAGCAAAAGAAACAAAATAATAGTCTAAATAAATCAAAATGATTATGTTTTTTTTATGTTTGTTTACTTTTGTTACGTAAATAAGAAAATATTTTGATATATACGGCTAATCGTTCTTTTTGAGTAATAGCTATTGCTGGAAAATATGTTTTTTGGTTTTAACGGAGTATATCATTTTAAGAAGATTTATCTTTTACAATTAATAAGAATAATAATTTGCAGGGACAAGAGCCAGTAACGGCATTTATATTGTGTGCAAGGTATTGTTTTACCTTGAATTTCCATAACGTTGACGTTTTTGTTGTCCTTTATTATTGTGGATGAGATCATCTTTTAATTAACAACCAGCAAGACAAAAACTAGATTAATCATGCCAGTGTATTGTGTCATGAAGAAGAGATGAGTTATTTACGTAATATGTCCAATAAAATAAACGTGATTAATGTATTTCTGTTAGTTAATATAAAATAAAATTTGTCGTTTATTAATGTATTTACTATATGTAGTTTTTTAAAATTATTTTATGTAGTGTGAGGATAAAGAAGAAGGTGGGATTAGTCAAAAATTTTAAGTAGTAGTAGTAGCAAAGGCAATTAATATTTCACACCTTTTTTGATCTATAGTAAGATTAACATAACTTTGCTAAAAGAGATAACCGATTTTAAATTTTCCAAGTTAGTTGAGCTTATTTGAATTTGTTTTTAAACCATAAGCAAAATGTGTTCTGCTACTGCTGGCAATAAGGTAATCAAGCTGGGCACAGATTGTCTTTTATTCGAAATTAATCCGAATAAATTGCTTCCTCTTCTTGTAAAGTAAAATAACTCCCGAGAGGGCCATAATCCTACGAAATTGGCCGGCTAGTTATCCATTTGCAACGGAGAATTTTCAACAGACATGTACGGAAACTTATATTAAATATATTTATTTATATTTTATAAATAAAGAAGAAATTACTGGTAAAAATGAACATACTAATAGAGGTGCGTAAATATCATTAGCACTATTTTATCCAAAGTCTAAACATTTTAAATAGTAGGTACAATATTTAAAATCTCGTCCATGAGTCTTGTTTGTTTAAAATTTACTTTTTAATCAATTTTATCAATTAACTATTCTGTTTATGTAAGGTCATGGTTGAGATGAAAAATTATGCCTCACGAACGTTCATCTTAACCAAGATGTTACATAAAAAGAATAATTAATTGATATAATTAATATGGCCTATTATGACCGCTAAACTTATATGGATTTTTAATCAATTTTACAAACAATAATTGTATGTAACTTTTCAAGTAAAAAGACAGTATACGTCTGGATATCTGGATAAGAGAGTAAAGGCGACATATCTATGATTGCAAAAAACCCAAACAAAATCTTACAGCACTCGCTACCCACCATTTGAACACCAACACACTTTCGACATGAACAATCCAAAAATATTACACACAGAACAAAATAAATTTAAACGTAACTTTATAGAAATGTATATTTATTTAGAAATCGTGAGATGCGGTCTGGTGTGATGTAGGTTTCAGAAAAACATTTTCTTTATCGTGCCAACGTTTCGATCTTTATTAAGATCATCTTTAGGGCCTGGGATTTACAAACATTGTTTATATATAACAGTTACATTTTGGATGTGGAAAAGTGAATTTACACAATGCACAATATGTTTTTTATATTTTCAATCAAAGTATTTATACTCANTTATTTAGAAATCGTGAGATGCGGTCTGGTGTGATGTAGGTTTCAGAAAAACATTTTCTTTATCGTGCCAACGTTTCGATCTTTATTGAGATCATCCTCACGGCCTGGGATTTACAAACATTTACATATAACAATTACATTTGTGTAAACAATGTTTGTAAATCCCAGGCCCTGAGGATGATCTCAATAAAGATCGAAACGTTGGCATGATAAAGAAAATGTTTTTCTGAAACCTACTTCACACCAGACCGCATCTCACGATTTCTAAATAAATATCGACTAACGGTCACTAATCACCACACATTTATAGAAATGGTTTACATTAACACAGATAAACTACCATCGATTACACATAGTACAGACACCTGTAAACTCAGTCGCAGCTACGCCAATATAATTAATTAAATTCAATATCGGTAACATACATATATCATCATAACATCATTCAAAACATATAACATATAAAACAATCATCACATTCCACACATCAAACATTTTTACGTAGTCTAATTTTTCAACAATTTAGCTTTCCTTTTCCTATTTATCCCTTTCCATATAATCCTGAAAGGATAATCTGGGCGAACCATTACCAACACTTTTTTTCCCTTCGTCGGCTCTTTTCACCTCAAAGAAGCCGACGCCTTATAGAAAAATGTCTTTCTATACCGACTTCCTTCCCCACCCCTTCAAAATCCAACGTATATAGACATAAAACAGCAATATCTCACTGCCATTCTCAACACGACAGACAAGAATGACACATCTACACGGAAAACAAACACTTTGAGTGAGTACAAACACTTTGATTGAATCTAAAATTTACTAGCATTGTATAAATTCATTTTTTTAATATAAATTTTTTTAGCATTATATAAATTCATTTTTTAATACAAAATTTTTTAGCATTGCATAAACTCATTTTTTTAAATCTAAAATTTTCTAGCATTGTAGAAATTCATTTTTTTTAATCTAAAATTTTCTAGCATTGTATGAATTCATATTTTATTCTCACCTCCTACAGGTATTTGTAAAATTTAAACAATGTTTATATATCCCAGGCCCTGAAGATGATCTGAATAAAGGTCGAAACTTTGGCACGGTAAGAAAATGTTTTTCTAACACCTACGTCACACCAGACCGCATCTCACGATCTCCGAATAATCATCGACTAACCGTCACTAATCATATAAACAATTGTATTATTTAAATTTATTTTTTACAAGTTAATGAAGTTACTAAAACTAATATTTTTTTATAGATTTTATGAGTTTTTTTTTCAAAAATTGTTTACGTTCTATCATTGTTTGAGAGAGAGAGAGAGAGAGACAGACAGACAGACAGAGAAAGAGAGAGAGAGAGAGAGAGAGAGAGAGAGAGAGAGAGATGCTTTCCTGTTTCTATAGAACGTATATAACATTTGAACAGTTAATATAGGTAAATAAGAGACATTAAATCAATTGGAATTTGCAGCTTGTAACACTTGCTAGAAGAAAGCTAAGAATTATAATCGTAATCCAACGGTATATATCTGCAAACATTTTGAAATTATTCGGAATAAGATGAAATTGTTTTCAACTGATTTCTAAAAAATCTTTAAATATGCTATTATTTTGTTTACATTACTTGATGATCATTCATCTTGATCGGAGGGTTAAAAAAACCTATTTTTATAAAATTCATTGTGCATTTAACGGGTACACTCACTAGAAATCAATTTATGTATTGTGCAACCTTGTGGGTTTTTACTTTATATTTGTTGACACTTAATTAAATGCCTGAGGATTTAGAACAGTTTCTAGAAAGTAAAACATTCTTGGAAAGCTGATGTTGCCAGCGTCTGATTTCTAAATAATGTTTCTTGCTACTATGTCGGAATAGGACAACTGATATCCTTGAATCAACAAACAAAGTGCTAAAATATCCCATTAAACGATACCCTTTCCAAAAACTAATGACGATACATATTCGATTCGAATGTGGGTGAAGGTCCGGAAAACAATTTTGTCCTTTTGAATGAAGTAAACAAAATTTTAATTTGAACGATCGATTTTTAATCAGAACGGGAATAAATGTCACTGGTGGAAGTGGGAGGTAATATGAGCAAATTTTTTGATGTCTGATTTACTGTGGAGGTGTTAAAAGGACCTTTTGCTTTGACTGTTTTGAATGTCAATATTAAATTATATATTTCTCTGATAAGAAATCGCCTGTTGTAACATTCAGTGTTGATTTACACAAAAAACATTGAAAAATGTTGAATTCTTTTAACATAATCATAAGATTGAAAAAGCTGTAATATTATTTATTGCTTTATTTTAACTAACTTCTGCACATTTTCCGATGCAATAAAAATAAAAATATTTTCTTTCATATCGACTTTATCCCAGATTGTTTTATAAAAAATTATCATATTGAAAGCTAATAACAGCTGTATTATGATTAAACTCAGCAGACTGGTAACAATTTTTTCAACAGATTGTTTGCAGATTCTCAGAATATTGTGTGCAGTGTACTGCATCAACAAGTAGTGATTTGTTTGTGATTTTCTGTTATTCTTTGCCAATTTTGAAGAATTATAAAAAAAACTGTATCATCTTGATAAATTTTTTTTTGACAGGGGCCTCCGACAGCTTGGTCATTTCAGCCGCGAAGCACTAGCGAAATACGGCTACACACTCGATACACAATCACACTAATAAATACATTCATACCTCTATACATTGATCGCGCTCATACTGTTTGGTAGATGGAGTACTCTATATTCCTCCATCTACCTGTTCACTACAATAAACTAATTTAATTTGGGGTCGTACTCGATCTTTTTCCATCTACCTCTTTCCTAAAAGAAATTATTCTAAATTGGGGTCGATGGGGTATTTTTATAAAATTTCCGCCATCGGCCCAAGTCTTACACACAACCTGAGAGGCGATGGAGAGGCAACTTCACCTTCAGCCCCTCTCCATTCACACTAATAAATACATTCACTCATACAAGTCACAGAAACACAAAACACACATTTTGAAAGCTACATACAATAAAAAAATTCCCAATTCCCCTAAAAAGCGGAACAGGGGACCCTGAAACTCGCTACCGTGTTCGAGAACTCTTCTTAGATCCGGCGGCATGCCTACACGCTCCCTGATTAGAGCCAAGGCATGACAGGCCTCTATTATGTGGGACACATCGACCAACCTTTCTCTGGATAAGGGGCACCTGCGCGGGTTTTGGCCCAAAAGCAGGTGCCCGTGTGATTTTGTTATTCTTATTCTATTATATTTATGAAATTGTGTTTTTGGTTGTCTCTGCCTAATAATAATAGAGTGAGTTAATATGAAAAAAATGAAGAATTTTAATTTGCTAATAAAACAACCAATAATTTTTAAAATATTTATACTTTGAGTGATTTTGCTCAGAAGATTGTTTGCAGTTTACTCAACAAACAGACTGCTGTGTCTTGATGATATATGCCATCATTTTGACAAACATTGTTTTTCAGATGGCAAAGCCGAAACGGCCGGTTGCTGGAGTTGCATGGATGATAATCTTCGGAGACGGTATCCACAACTTCATTGACGGGGTAACGATAGGAGCCGGTTACAGCCAAAGCATACCGACCGGACTTGGTTTGAGCATAGCAATAGCGTGCGAAGAGTATCCTCACGAACTAGGTAACTAAAAATTTTAAATTTAATTAAATCACTAATCTACGAAAATGTTAACATTATGAAATTCCAAAATCTAAATTTACAGCTTGTTACATCCACACGTACGCAAAAAGAAATCAATACTTCTTATAAGGAACGAAAAAAAAGCATTATCATATTTTGTGTCATTATTTTGTGTGGGCAAAAACAAACGTTACCGTGAAGTGAGCATTTTTTACAGTTTTTTTCCCCCAAAAAAATTTTACATTATTATTATGTGGGTGGATTTTACGAAAGTCTAAAAACAAACCCAAGATTTAATCCAAAATTTGAATATCTGCCAAAAAGGGGGAAATTTGCAAAAGTATACACATTTCTGACAAAAGAAATTATAAAGATTTGTAAAAAAAAAGGCTCACTGAAAAATTTACTTTTTACAAAAATTTTAAAAACAAACTTAATTCTTTTCTACCATCTATTTAAGATTTTGATTAAAAATACAAAAGAAATATCATTAATAAATTAGATTGTACAGGTTTGTCAAAGCATACTAATGAGACTAAACACACAGTGGATTTTGAAAAAGTTAAAATAATAGAAAAAGTAAAAAAACAAATTAAAAACCACTGTAGCGAGAAAATGAGTATATAAATTTGAAAAATAATAGAAATATTAATGTTAATTGATGATTAATAAAAAGATCAGAATAAGAAAACATTTTAGATATCTATTCAGAAACCGTGAGTTGCGGTCTGGTGTGATGTAGGTTTCAGAAAAACATTTTCTTTATCGTGCCAACGTTTCGATCTTTATTGAGATCATCTTCAGGGCTCAGAGTGTTTGTCTTCTGTGTAATTGTGCCATTCTTACGTGTCGTGTTGATAGTGAAACCTTCTGAAACCTACATCACACCAGACCGCATCTCACGATTTCTGAATAATTATCGATTAACGGTCACTAATCACCACACATTTTAGATATCTGAAAAATTAAAAAAACAGTCATTATTAAAGGGTAAATAAACAAAAATAAAATTATATACAGGATGTTGTGCTATTCGTGTTTCAAACTTTGCCAGTAGATTTTACATCTAAAATGGAACCAAAAAATCCTAATTAACTATGGTCCGAATCTCAACAGTTTCGGTGTTATTCCTCTTTCTGTGTCTTCTTGTCATTCAATTCATTTCATGTCGAGGGACGTGAGATTGTAGAGCTCCTTCAACAGATGATGAGCTGTCGGAAATCCGGATCGTCGAAAACAACTTACTAGGAGTAGGAACTATATTTTTTAAAAAGATTGAACAACACACTCACTCCACCATTAATCTTTTCTATTATTTTTCTTTTTCTGATATTTTAAGATTTCACGATTTTCTTTCAAACAAACATTGATAACACCAAAACTAAAAGGTTTTGGACAAATTCGTTGATACCATTGAAAACTACGTTAAATTTCCAATAAGATGTGATCTTACTGTAGTCTGTTTTTGGTTGTCTCAGTCTGTGTAATAGAATGCGTCAAGATAAAAACAAAATTTGAATAAAAACGTATAGAATAAAATATGACTAACGATATTATCAAAATGATATAGTTTTTATGAAAAAGTTGTAGCTTGAGATGATGTGTTAGGGCCCCGGGGGACCGAAGTCACGATAGCTCAAGTGGTTTGAGCGGCCTATGAAACCGAAGGTCGTGGGTTCGAGTCCCGCGCGTGACACTAATTTTTCATCTCAATCACACATCACATATAAATTATAAATAAATTTAAATAGCCACTTTGGTTAATTAGAACCAACTAAAAACGTACAGATTAATACCATGATTTTATGTATTTCCATGAAGCAAAAAAATATCGGAGTGAGAAGCGCGAATTTGATTTATCTCCCCCCCCCCAAAAAAAAAAAAAAAATCGACACGAATTGCCACACTTACCCCTTCACTACTTATTGTGACAGATTTTAGTTCATGATATTGAAAAATACTATTTCCAAGACCAAGCTGTGTTGCGGGAACGGTATCCTCTAAGAGCCGTGAGTACAGGTACGTTTATTTATTTGAAAATCTACCAAATTAGAGCGTAATTTATTTGGTTAAATCAAAAACAATAACAATTATTTGAAACTTTGTTTTATTGTATTTTTTACAATTTAGTTACATTTGCCTGAAAATACCTAATTACCGAGTAAATAGTTTGTTTTAAATTGGACATTTTAAACCTTCATTATTTTAACTTTTTCATTTGTAATTTACAACTATAAATATTGTATTGAGTAAATATTTTCTAATACTGATTACATTAGTTGAACCACTTGTAGGAGAAATTGCCCAGTAACTGACAACACTGCTTCATTCAGTATGAACCGTAAGAATTTTGAGTTGACTGAATACGCTAGTGGATTTCTTATTGGGTCCGTCTTGAAGAGTAGGTTTTTGAATTACTCAAGCATTGTGATGTCGGTTATTTCCTTCGTCGGTTATTTTTTGACCAATGGGCTCAATAACTACACGGAGCCAGTGACATATAAGCCCTACTCGGGCAAAATAACAGACAGTTCCTCACTGAAGATGCACAATGGTGAAACGCTTTTAAGTAGTTCAACAAATAGACGAATGAAGACGGACGCAATATTCGTTCAGCATATAACTTATGATCTTGCGTATTAGCCATAGTACGAATTCTTGTGTTCAAATTGGGGGTTATCGGGAAAAAAGGGCCAGAGGCGACGGTGGGAATCGAACCCACGACCGCGGCGTGAGAGTCTCTCGTGCTAACCACTCGGCTACCGCGGTCCCCTATTAAATATCACTTGGGAGGGAATCTACCGGCAATACACTTCAAACCTATTTCTAGTTTTAATTATTTATTTTTTTACCACAAGGAATGGTTAGGTTATCACAGTAGTTTCTAGTTTTGCCACTTCATTTTGTTTTTTACATTTATCTAAATTTTTTTTATACTCTTTATATAAATAAAAATATTTTTTTGTAAGTTTTAATGCTCATATCGCCTCGTAAATTGACGAATGAATTTAATCTGTTTTGTAAGTTTTTTTACGAGGGTGTTTCAATTACAAAGTTATATGAACTCTCGGTGTGTCGATGTTCGAATTCGGCGCCGCTGGATTCGAACCCCGGATCCTTTCCTTTATAGTGATGGGCGTCGTGTCAACGCCTAAACCGTTGCAGCCAAATACGCTCCCCTCTCCGTTTTCTAAGTTTGGAACATGGATGGATCTTAGTGAATGAAAGGAGAAAGAAACGGTGTACTAACTCTAAAATATTGGCTTTTGTTCAATTATTCTCTTTTAGGAATCGACTAATGTAATTTTTCTTATAGAGTTACATATAGTTGTCAGGTTTTTCAGGGCAAGCTTTCTGCCACGTGTTTTTACTCTGTTTCTCCCAATTTAACATAATTCTAGAGAAAAGCAACGACGTATTAAATTTATTAGAAGTTGTCAAAGTCAAAAGTCATAATCAGATCCTAGACACTTCTTAAGGGGGAGGAAAAATGAACCAGAGGAATTGTTTTCCTCAATATGCTTCGGTGATATTTGGTTGTAATGTTCTCCATCCACAGCTCTGTTACATCCGCATTGTCATATTTTCTATGTCTTCTGGGCTTTACACATCAGCAAGAAGCATATGGATTCGCTGGGTGTCTGTCAGAGCATTGGAGGATACACAAATTGAAAAAATCACGTCTATTTCCTATAAGATGACCAATATTAAAAATACTGTATTTGATTTATTTTTCTGTAAATAAATATTTCTTTTCATCTGCTATGCATTTTAAAATTATATGATGCAACATAAAATTTCTGATTACTCGTTATCCTGTTTAATGCTCGCTTACTTATTTCCTGCAGCCCCTCGGAAATTTTTTACGCGCCACTACTTGTTGAAATGTTATTTCCGATCATAAATTTCCACCTCGTTTGAGCATGACCGAGCACCTTCTTTTGGAAAATGTTTCACGATCGGCTAACAGATTTTACAGAATTCGTCGCGAAGAAATAAAAAGCCATCGCATGATAATCCATCATACTCTCAATTCCTGCAATAATCGAGTTAAGATGTAAAACAATTAAATTTCTTGTTAGGCGTTCAACTGCTGCTACGGTCGGACTATGTGGGCTCCGGGTATACAAAAAAAAAAGCTGTTGCTTGAATAAAAATTTGTAACTGATTTGTATTTAGATATAAAATATACATTTAACACTAGATTTTCTTATTCTTGTTCTTTAATTTAAAGATTTATTAAAATATATTTTGTGTTTAATTGTTTGCTCATTAAAAAGGTTCTTCTTTTGAAAAATCGTTGTCTGTTTCTTTTTACATAAAACAGATACAAACAATTTTTTTAAATTGTACGTATTTCAAAGCAACCTTCCATAAAAAAATCTTTATAATAATTCATGTCCGTCTGCTGCTGAAGCTCAATATATATAGCATAAATTTTGTGAATAGAAGGAACCACGGGTTGCATTCCGGTAGCCTTAGGATACTGCATTTTAAAATCAAAACTTAGTAAATATTTGTGAATCAGTTTTGATTTTGCTTACGTCGCACGGGACGAAAAACATTCAGTCACTACGATAAAAAAATCGGACTGTACATAGTTATGAAAATACTTTATTCCATAGACTGCTTGGAGTTTTAACTCGAAAGACTGGTCCTAGGATTATGCCTTGGTTGTTCTTTTACCAAAGCGAATACGCATGGCTTAAACAACGACGTTAATTAAAATTCTTATAAAAAAACGTACAGTTGGGGTGAGAACCTCGAATTTCAAGACGGCAAAAATGATATTTTTTTTAGATTTTGGATCAATTTCTTTTCGGAACACATCTCCCAGGCCTTCGGTTAAGGCACGACAATATTGTACAATAGCTGAGTTTTCACATATTGATAAAATTTGTATATTTAAATTGGGTTTTCCATTTTAAAGGAAGCATTCTGATCCAGTAATTTACGTAGAAAGACCGGGCGAGAGAATTTTTCGACTGATAACGATGAAA